GGCCACGACCACCGCTACCAACATAGTTCCTACCATCCTCCTAGTCATACGCCGCCGTATTTGCTGCCAATTGGTCGTAGGAATCACGTGGGATCACGATTTTCAACCTAGGATTCGAGGGGTATAAAAAATCAATTCGTCATCGATCGAATGTCGATCAGTCACGATTTCATAGGGGTTTTGATCGCTAGGGGGAGGTTAGGCCGGGTGGAGCTTCATCGACAGGAAAGGGTGGTGGTCGTGTGAGTTTAGGGATTGAAATGAAGATTTTTAAAGTTTTGGGATTTTTTTTTAAATTTTGTGTTTTTTTAAATATATAATTTTATTTTTTAATTTTTATACAAAAATTTTAAAATTATCATTGTGACATGTGTTACTTAACGAAGGAAATTAACGTCGTTAACGGTACAAACACGTAAAGTGGTAACGTTTGTGATGTTAGACATATAGATGAGTGACTAGTGTTTATTTTGTGCTACTTTTCGTGCTTAAATGCTATTTGTTTGTCCATCTTTACTACTAAATTGGATGTTTTTATATGTTTTTAGTGCAGGACGATCATTGCTGGAAAATATGCTAAAAAGGCCTGGAAATTACACATTTTGTTCTGGAATCAAGTGTGGAACCGTGCGTAATTGGGCATGAAATGCTGACTCACTACCACGTTAGCAATTTCTAGAAGCGTCCAATCAGCATATAGTCAACATGCTTCTAGAATATGAGCGGACGACTGAGTATTTTAAGCACATTCAAATTCACGATCTAGGATTTATCTTTTAAAATTAAATTCAAATATTTTTTTAGAATTATCTTTTGTGATTTAATTTGGATTATTATTAGCATTCTAGGGTTTCCGAAGGCAATAAATATCCTCCTATGGTGGGCCTAAACAAGGATCATTCGAATCTTGAAGTTCTTCATTTATGTTTTTATAAAACTTCTTTATTTTTCTTTTACTTACATTTCTTTACTTTTACTTTAAAACTTTTATTTGAATGCTAAGTACGACTTTTATTTGAGTACTTTAAAACTTATATTTTTCTTTTACTTACATTTATTTTCTTTTACTCAAATATCTTTGGAAATCTCTCACCTTTTGTTTGTGCTTATTTCAAAATCAAAACAATTTTTCAAAACCAAAGATCGACTATGGTTAAGATATTGTTGCGATTAACTGTGTGGGAGAAAGAACCGACTTATTGAAAGCACATTCGACTTACTGGGAACACACTTAACAAATTGATTGCTAAGAGGGAATTAAGATCGGAATATGTTATTATTGAAACAATATAATCCGAGTCGGTCTTTTACGAACTTAATTGGTTCTTATCTACAACAATTGATGTTTATTAGATTAATTTTCAAAAGCCGAAACCAAAGGTTGCAATTGGGTATTCGGTATACAAAACATAGTCACAAGGATTGATCCTTGTAGACAAATAACCGACGTGAATCTCGAAGTAAAATCCAGTTTCGATGATCCGAGAAAACTGAATCAAAGCAAAAGCCTAAGGCTGATTTCTACCATATCAAATTTATTTCCTTAATCTTCTTTTTAAATTTCTTATTTTTTTATCTTCTTTATTTTCTTGTTTTTATTTACTTTACTCTCTTCATCTACAAATCAATTGTCACTCAAACTCTACTCCATCCATTTCTTGACGTAAAAATTAAACAAATCACGAATAAATCAAAAAGTTTTTTTAATCTCTATGGGATCAACCCTTACTTCTCATTTACTATGTTAATTTTTCTTTACATATTATTTAAAAATAAAGGAATTATTCTGACGCTAAAAACGACATACGTCAATGACCCAAAAAATATATTAGGCACTTATTTTTAAAAACATGTATAGTTTAAACACTTATTTTATACTTAATCATTGTGAAAACGAGTTCAAAGCTAGTTAAAACGAGTTATGGTTGACTACAAAAGTGCTCCCCTCCTGCAAAATATTCTTGCCCGGCGTTCATATTACTTTAACCAAAAGAGAGAGAAAAGTCGAAGAGAAATTAAATTCGACAGCTACAAAGGAGGGGAAAAAAACTATGAACGATAGCGAGAATATGGATAAACAATTCTATTCATCACTCAATCTTCCATGTGTTCCTCTTTTGGCAACTCTACTTTAATAATTTTTAATTTAATCATCCGAATTTTGAAATATGCTGTTAAATAATTTAAGCGGTATGATAGAACATTTTTTTCTCTAAAATTTATGAAAAGGTTCAAAAACTTTCTTCATTTTGCTTTTGAAAACCCCATAAAATCTTACTAAAATATGATTTTATTATTATTCATTTCTCAATATTGGAGCATCCTCTTCCAAGTTTTAATGACAATGAAGTGGATAAGGAGAAGACGAGTTATATATCCTGATTTTATGTTGATTGAAATGATAGTTGACGATAAGAGGAGTTTATATGAATATAAAGTGGTTGGACAAAACATCGAATAATGGTGGTTTTGACAGTGAAATCATGAGTACAAATTTTTTAATTGTGAAGAAGAAGAAATCCAAATAAAAAAAGAAAAAATAGAAAATAAGATGAACAACAAGTGATCTTCACGTCAACACAAAATTTTTGTTTCTAATTTAACACATGGGTGAAAAAACATGAATATTTGAAATGTTTAATGATAAGTGAAATTCTCTAAAGTTGAGGGACCGAAGGAAAAAAAAGTATTGGACCTTTTTAAAAAATGAAATAATTTAAGGATTTTAATATATTTTACCCATTATTGTTTCAATCATATGACGAAAGAAGAGACTCGGACAGCTCAAGTCTTTCTAAATATGAAGTAATGATGACTCTTCAACGTGAAAAATACTTTGCTGCAACTTGCAACAAGGAAATATAAATGGCAAGTGTGGAATTATCAACTCCTTTGATCTTTATTTCTTTATCCAATGGAAATAACAAATTTAGCCCTTCCTTGCGTTATTTTACAAGCATTCACGGGTCAAAATAGAAGACCAATATATATTTTTATTAATATAAAATAAGTATAAAATAATATGTGTTTAAATATAAACTCTCAGTCTTTCGATATTAAACGCTTATGACATATATTATACTCAAACTCATGCCTTCAATGAATAACAACAATTACTTTACCACGGCGGTCACTTGGTTCGTGCAAAATAAAATACCAATTACTAGTTCTAGTTGCTACCCTAATGTTGCATGTTTTTCTATTTTGATCTTTAATGTGTTTTTGTTAATAATGTTTTGAAGTATACAAGTTATTCATTTTATTTTGAAATTGTTATCGATATGGACGAAAGCATGATTTTATGGTAGAAAATTGAATTTCGAAAACTTTAAGGATAACAAATTTATAAAAAAAAATAAAGAAATAAAAATAAATTATTAATAAAAATATATTTAAAATATATGATTTCCAAATACGTATTTCCATTAATTTATCTATGATTATAAATGTTAGTCAATCAAAATACCCCATATGACACTCTTGATTAAAGAAATAATACTAAATTTAATAGAAAAAAAGAGTGCATTACATGAATTACATGTCAAATCTTTCAAGTTTTGTTTTTATTCGGTTTATTCTTTAAATTATTTATTTAGTTTTAAATTAGCCCATATTTTTTTATAAATTTATGATTTAGTTTAAAATTATTTATTAATAATTTTAATTATACAAATAAATGGGTAAACTACACGTTTAGTACCTAAACTATTACTTTTATTCTATTTTGATACTCATTTTAAATCATACCTAACATTCAGTTTATATTTCAAGTTGGTATCTATCGTTAACAAATTAACAGAGCTGCTGGTGTGTGATATTTTTTACAAAAATTCAATGTTGATGTAGTATTACCTTATGGTGACACCTCAATATCACTATTAAGTTTTTAATAGTGGGATATCAAAATGAAATTTAAACTAAATATTAAGTATAATTTTGAAAATAAATAAAGTTTAGACACTAAAACGGAACAAAAGTAATAGTTTAGTTACTAAACATGTAGCTTACCCAAAATATAAATTATAATAATGATTTAGAATCAATAAAAAATTTAAATTGTTTCGTGAGAAATCATATATTATTGAAGAACACAAATGGTTGATATGAATGGATAACGATAACTTTTCTGGAAAAAAAGGATGAACTATGCAGATAATTCATTATGTTTTCGGATCGAATTTGATCACCAATTTAAAAATCAAAGGGAATTACCCTTAACGTTATCGATCTGTTTGATTTAAGTCCCTAATATTATTAATTCGTTTGATTTTAGTCCCTCAATTGTTTAGTCCCGTTAGAGACTTCAAACAAAAGGGACTTAAACAAAAGGGGTTAATAAAAATTAATGGCTAAGGGACTAAAATCGAATGAATAGATAATGTTGGGGATCATTTCCTCTTAATTTTTAAATTGGTGACCAAAGTCGGTCGGGCCCTAAAAATAAGGGACTATATGCATAGTTTACCCAAAAAGAAAAGAAAGAAAATTTGCAAAAAAGAATCAATGACAGATCATAAAACGGCACTAGTCACTTGATTATATTATTTAAAATTAAGATAATATAGATCTAATCTTTCAAATATATTATATAAAACCTTCGTTAACACTCCATCAATAAGGTCTTTAAATAAACCTCCTTTATCATAGTTATTAAGGAATAAAAGATTTCTAGAGGGATTAATGTATAAATTTCTATTTTATGAAGTCAAAATTCATTTTTAATTGGCGTGGTGTTACTTTATCATTTGAGGACCAATCTACTCACCCCATTCCTACACAGAAATTAAATATAAAAATTAATTATATTTTGACTTCACAAAATAGTGAATTTATAATTTAATCTCTTTAAAAATATAAAATAATGTTTTGATCCTTCAAATATATATTTTTTTGTAAAAGGATACATCATGAATCACGCCAATCACTCCTTGTTTCGTCTCTTTGTAACAAAGGAAGCAGTATTCAATTTTCTCATGATTCGTCCTTGGCCTTGCCTATAAGATCCTTGCCAGTCGTCACTCGTCAATAACATCTAATTTCTCCATGTGTTCTTATTCTTCTTCATCTTCAGCTTAGAAAGCCATGAAAAGTACTGGTAATTACATTTTTCTTTGCTTAGTTCATTAACTTATGACATGCATACTTTCGTTATTTGCTCCATCCTTATTTATCACCATTGTTAAAACCTCCCAAACTTCCATTTCCTGAAGTATCTAAGTTCCCAAAGTCATGAAGATCAGTGCTGAGACATGTTTGAATTTTGGAACTGACAATATGCAGGATTAACTGTCATGCTTGAGTTCAATTACTATTTTTTATGTTAAATTAACTCCATTCTTTTTCTCTTTCTTTAGTCGTCAAGATCTTTAATGCAATGTTGCTGTTACTAGCATTCATTGCCGTTATTTCAACTGCCTCAGCGTACAAACAAACATATATAGTTCATATGGACAAGACCAAGATCACAAAAACCTACAATTCCCTTGTCGATTCCAAACCATGGCACCAAGCTGTTCTTGATTCTTTAGCTCAAGAGGAACTGGATGTGACACCTCCGGAGCTACTGTATTCCTACGAAACCGCCTTTTCTGGTTTCGCCGCAAAGCTCTCTCGAACGCAGTTAAAATCGTTGAAAAAGATGGATGGCTTCGTGTCTGCGGTTCCTGATAAAATGCTAAGCCTCCACACCACTCGGAGTCCACTGTTTCTTGGCTTAGAAGGGAAAAAAGGACTGTGGGGTTCTTCTAATATACGGTCAGATGTCATAATTGGTGTGGTGGACAGTGGAATTTGGCCGGAGCATGTTAGTTTCCGCGACCATGGCTTGCCTCCTGTACCGGAAAGATGGAGAGGTGCTTGTGAAAAAGGCACCAGATTCTCTCCATCAAATTGCAACAAGAAACTAATCGGTGCTAGGTATTTCTATGGAGGCTATCTAGCCGCCGGTGGTAGAATCAACAAAACAGAAGAATATCTGTCTGCAAGAGATACAGCAGGACATGGGACACATACAGCATCAACAGCAGCCGGCGATGTTGTGGAAAATGCAAATCTTTACGGCTTGGCCAATGGCTCTGCGGCGGGAATGAGGTACAGTGCCAGAATTGCAGCGTATAAAGTATGTTGGCCAGGATGTACAAGCGTTGATATCCTAACGGCTATGGTGAAAGCCATTGAAGATGGGGTTGATGTGTTGACTCTTTCTTTGGGATCCACTTCAGAAGCTGAGTCTTATAATCAAGATTACCTTGCTATTGCATCATATTATGCTTTCAAAAGTGGGATTTTCGTTGCGTTTAGTGCAGGTAACAGTGGACCGGCGGACTACACCGTGGTCAACACCGCACCTTGGATCATGACTGTAGCAGCAAGCACCATGGACCGAAGCTTCCCGGCAATTGTTAAGCTCGGAAACGGTCAAACTTTTGAAGGGTCATATTTATACAGTGCTGTTAAGGCCTTAAAGTCTTTGCCGATTGTATATGGAAAAACTGCTGGCCATTCAGGTGCAGAGTATTGCGTCCCTGGCTCACTCAATCCCAAGCTCGTGAAAGGAAAGATTGTTATTTGTGAACAAGGACAAGTCAGGCGGACGGAAATGGGAGAGCAAGTGAAATTGTCCGGAGGAGCTGGAATGTTAATAATGACCCCACTAGGTGAAGATCTTGCAACTGATGCTCACGTTTTACCAGCCGCTATGTTAGGAGCCTCAGCCACTGAAGCTATCTTGAAGTATGTGAATACAACTAAAGCATCAACAGCTTCCATTGTCTTCAAAACCACAACTTACGGTACCCGTGCACCAAAAGTCGCCACATTTTCATCTAGAGGGCCGAATTTAGTTGGCCCCGATGTGATCAAACCGGATGTAACAGCACCGGGAGTCGACATACTGGCAGCATGGCCGGCCAAGACTGGTCCAAGCACACTCAAGAGCGACAAGAGAAGGGTTTTATTTAACATAATTTCAGGCACATCAATGTCGTGCCCTCATGTTAGTGGCATCGCAGCACTGATTAAATCGAAGCACAAAGATTGGTCACCTGCAGCAATCAAATCAGCCCTCATGACAACAGCTTATACCATGGACAACAGGAGAAAACCTATACAAGATCTTGCATTTGGTGACATGGCATCGCCGTTTGTTTTTGGTTCAGGCCATGTTGATCCCACCAAAGCCTCTAATCCAGGGCTAATATACGACATCACCGCGGAGGATTATCTACTTTATTTATGCAGCCTGAAGTACAATAAGTCTCAGATATCCTTGTTTGAAGAGGGTTTTGAATGTCCAAAGAAGGCAACTATGCAACCCGGTGACCTGAATTACCCTTCTTTTGCAGTGAATTTCCAGCTTGGGGCTCAGAATGCTACTTTTACCTACAGAAGGACTCTCACAAATGTTGGGATTCCTATAAGTTCGTATAAAGTATCAGTTGAAGCACCCGAAGGAGTATCTGTGATCGTAAGGCCTAAAGTTCTGAGTTTTAAGAAGTTGAATGAGAAATTGAGGTACAAGGTGAGTTTCACAGGACAGAGCAGAGAGAAGCCGGTTGCTAGCCCATCTGTTGGATCCTTAGTGTGGGTGTCTGGAAACTACAGAGTTAGAAGTGCCATTGCAGTGACAGGGCTATAGCCATTTGTAAGTATTTTGATCTTTAAGTTTTAATGTGTGCTTGTTTAAGGATTTGAGATTAATCTCTGTCGAATCGGGTTTGATTTTCTTTATTTAGACCATGTTAAAGGGCTTGGGTTACAATAATGTCACTTGCCAAAGGAATAAAAGTCTTTGTGCATTATAAAAAGTGTGACCTATACTACGTAGGGTTTTCAATGACTGCTGTTTTTGTAACTTCCCCATTAACTTAAACAAGTTCAAGGCTAATTTAAGGGAATAAATCCTATTTCTACGTGAACCCTGGGAAACGAATCAGCTTACCAAGGTTCGAACAAAAGAAAAAGCTGACCAAGAAATTATAAATTAATTTGCTCCATGAATGGGAGGTTATGGTTACTACAAAAGTGCTTTTCTCGTGCAAAATATTCTTACTTTTTGAACGTGCGTTCATAAATTTCTTTAATAAAGAAAAGGTTAAATCAAGTTCGAAAGCTAGAAAAGAGAAAAAGAAGAGAAAAGAGATGGAAAGACAGCTGAATGACAAGTAGTTTATATCTTGATAGTGAAGGCTTTTGCTTACTTTGCAAATGAATGCACAATTTACTTCAATTTCGGCACACAGACAAACACTTATGGTGATGTATTTACTGGATTAGAGACCCTTTATTTTTTCCTCTCTTAAATAAAATTAAACAGTTTCTGGTTTCCACCCCACTAATGGAGATAAAGAGCTTCTGGCACTAACCTAATACTACTATTTTAAGATCCCATTTGAAAAAAAAAACTATTTCATATTGCACACACTGCACTCAGCTGCAAATAATATGAAATATGTAATATAATAGTAGTAATATGCAAACAAGATTCTCCATTAACAAGATTATGATGTTAATGCTCGACTAACTTGGTTTTCCAAACCCTAATGATTAAAGAATTCAGCACCACGGGAAAAGTGACCATCGTCCTATCCAAACCATTGGATCAATTTTCGTGGCAAATCTGCATACTCCATAGGCTGAAATAAACTTTTAATCCCAATCCATTTTTTGAACTTCAAAGAAACCATTAACAAGCCTTAAAAGGTGTTTATAACCTGTGAATATAGCCGACTTTGGGGTTGGTCCCACTCTCCCTCTATTTTCTTATCAGTTACTAATGGAGGAGTGTTCAAGCAAGCTTTGATCTCTCTCGCCCGTCCACTTATACGCGTGCACCGTTTTGATCAAAGCAATGGGAAAACACTTGTTGTGCATAATGGTAAGTGACAATGAGCATCGAGGTTATTGCTTCATTGGATAACTCGGTGGGAGGCAACCCCCCACACTTGGGGTGCCCATAAACACCCAGTTTTCGACCACTCTTTCGCCTATATATTGAGCTCCTCTGGTTGGTTGTTCTATGCCCTTCTCATGTCTCTTTTGAGCAATGGAGACAGGTGATTCTCATTTGTCAAATTTCTTTTGTATTTCAATGGATGCATAGCTGATGTTACACTGATCATTTATATATTTTTAGTCCCTCTATTATGCTGATTCGTCTCTTGATCGTGACTGCTCGGGTCTATTTATGAATAAGTCTGCTAAAGTTACTGTTATACCACTTCATATAGGTCATTTTCAGCATCCATGTGTGAAAAGATCTAACATAATTTTATCCTTTATATCCTTCAGATGAATTGCTTTGGTTCCGCATAATTACAGCAGCCATGATGCGTAAAACAGCCTTGCTGTTGTTAATCTTCATAGCAACAGCATCGATGAATATGCAGACTTGTATAGTTTACATGGACAAGATCAAGATTGCAGCCTCTGATCAGTCTCCAGGCAACTTTAAGGAATGGTACGAATCAGAGATCGAATCTATGATCTATCACTGAACTCTCGGCTGAGGAGGAACGTGAGGCAGAACAACAGTCATCTCCTCAGTTGATTCAGGCCTACAAACGAGCTGTTTCTGGTTTCTCTGCAAAGCTTTCAACTAAGAAACTAGGATCACTGATGAACAAGGTTCTGTTACAAGCAACTTACAGTTTACAACTTGTAATATCAGTTCACTAAAGAAGGTTGAAGTCTGAAGAAGAAGAAATTAAAGGAGCAGAGTGAATGTTAGGGTATAAAAAAAAAGTCATTCGTATAATAGACTAAAGAAAGCCTTTTGTAATCCTTTTTCTTCAATTTATTTAAAACTCCATTTCCTATTTTTTTCTCTCTCTTAACCAAATTATAACTGCTGGTTTCTATCTATTCCACTGCCTGCCGCTGTTCGGCGATGTCCGGCCTCTGTGCCGGAGCTCCTCCATTTCAACATGGAGTGCTTCGAATTTGAAATTTGATGTGATCATAGGCGTGGTGAATTCCGAAATATGGCCTGAACATGTCAGTTTTGACGATGAAGGCATGCCTGCAGTGCCAACAAGATGGAAAGGTGCATGCGAGGAAGGTACAGAGTAGCCGCGATCGAATTGCAATAGGAAACTCATTGGTGCCAGAGCATTCTTCCAAGGATACGAGGCTAGTGTTGGCAGAATCAACGAAACGGAATAATAAAGGTCTGCGAGAGATGCCGAAGGCCATAGAACACATGGAGGACTGTGGTTGGCAGTAACCGATCCAAAAATATTTTTTAGGGTGAATACATATGATAATAATAAAGAATTTTTAAATGAAATGAATACAAATAAAAATTCAAAACACCTCCCGTAAAATAAGTAACTATAAAAAAAATAGATTTTAGAGTAGACACGGATAATTTTAGAGTGAACATCAATAATAAAATAAGTAACTAATTAGAAAAATTAAAAAATTTAAATTTTAGTGTCTACCATAACTAAGTTGTGACTCTGACAGCTACTGATCTTGTGGCCAAGGGCTTAGCTGGCGAACTGAGGTACACCTCAAGAGTTGCAACATATAAAGCATGTTGATCTGAAATATAGTACTAAATTATGATTACTGTTGTCGTCACGATTGTTGTCGCAGCGTTGTGATTACGGGTATTGTGAATTTTATGATGTGGTTTATTAAAAGAAATAATTATATTTTATATTGTGTATGTGATTTATGGTATTACAATAACCTTAAAAAAATATTACAATACGACTATTACATTACATGGCATTGTGATCCGACCCATTTTAATATTATGGTTCGAAGGTTGTTGTTAACTCTGATGTGCTAGCTGGCTAGCAGCCATAGACCATGTCATTGCCGACGTTGTTGATGTGTCGTCACTCTCTTATCAAAAACAACGTTAAACACTAAAATAAGAACAAATAAATTTTAGGAATAAAAGACATCATAAACCTAAAAAAAGGGTTTAAATTTAAGATGACGAATGATAAATTTAAGATTTAATAGTGTTGATTGATAACATGTATGAATTATGATAAATTGATAATCTACTAACTCTTTATATTAACATAATACTATTTATTATTATCTATTATATTAATAAATAATTTAAAATTTACAGAGAAAATTACATAAATTACCACATAACTAAAGGTTAGGTCGCAAAATCACCACCATTTTTAATTTTGTATCAATATGACTACTGAACTATTTAAATGGTTTCAATATAGTCGCCTGTTGTTAACAGTTAACGAAAGTATTTACGTAAAGTTAACAAAATATGTATAATTATGGCATGAGTCCTTGTAAAGTTACATATTCATGGCGTTGGCATCCTTCTTTGTTTTCTTTCATTTTGGTCACTACTTGTATATGATTTGTTTCCTTGAATTTTCATTTAATACAATTTGATCCTGATTATATTTTTAATTTGTTTAATGCCTTAATTTGAGCATTAACTTTAAAATATTTTATTCCAGTCATGTATTAAATTTATATATTATAGTTAATATTTTTAATATATTTAGGAGTCAATTAAAATATTTTTTTATATATTATATATAATATAGTTAATGATAGAAATAAAAATAGACAAGCGAGGACTTAAATCTAGACCAATTGAGAATATGATCACACTTAAATTGCTAAAAACATCTAATATATTATTTATAATTATTTTAATATTTTTTAAATTAAATTTATTTTATATTTATTTATTAATGATTATATATATATATATATATATGAAATTATATTAAAATTTATTTAATATACCCGAATATGGATGGGCATGAATCGGGTCGGGTCGGATTTGTTTTAGTGAATTAAATGTTATCATATTTTCAATTGACTTGGATGTAAGTTTTCAACTATACATTTTATTTATCATTAACTAATATATATATATATATATATATATATATATATATATATATATATATATAATATTTTAATTGTTTTTGCCTAAACCTTAACAAGTTATATAACATATGTATTATCTCAATAATAAGTGTGGGAATTAAAAATTTATCAAAACTCATCTTCATTTTTTTCACTTCAATTCAAAAGGTGACATGTGTCACATTTTGATTGGAGAAATTAATTTATTAAATTAAATTGAAAATATGGCCTAATTAAAATTTAAGAATTAAAGTTAATCTTGTTGATCAAATTGATTAATTCTAAAATTTAAGGGATTTAATCTATAAATTTAATACATGACTAGAATAAAAGATTTTAAAATTAATGCTCAAATAGAGACATTAGACAAATTAAAAACAGAATCAAGACCAAATTGCATTAAATGAAAATATAAGGAAACAAATCATATACAAGTAGTGGCCAAAATGGAAGAAAACAAAGTAGGGTGCCAGCGCCGTAAAGACGTAACTTTACAAGGACCCGCGCCCAAAGTATACCAATTTATTAACCGCCACACAAATATTTCCGTCAAATGTTAACGACGGGTGGCTATATTGAAACTATTTAAATAGTTCAGTGACCATATTGACGCAAATTTAAAAATTGTAGTCATTTTGTGACCCGACCCTTAGTTATGTGATTGTTTATGCAGTTTACCCAAAATTATATATATATATATGAATTTACAGATTGTCCACCCAGAGCAACAATGATAAGATTCGAACTTGGCCTTACAAGTTCAAATTCTTAAATCTCAACCACTTACGCCAAATTACATATAGTTTTAGTCAAATATTATTTTTTTTAAAATTATGTAAAATATATGTAAGATAACATGTAAGTTACTATTTCAACGTCCAATGACAAAATCAGGAGTAGGTATGTCTTTGACTCTCTTAAAATGATAAA